TCTCCTAAAAAAGTACTTCTATTGTTCAATCCTACAAATAACAAAAAAGAAAAAAAAAAACAAATCAATAAATATAAATTTCAAGCAAAACTTCTCAGATAACAGGGCAAGGGCCGCTAGTTATATCTATTTATTTTTTCAACAAAGCCACGCGGAACGCAGCATGGCCACTCGTTAAGAAAAGCCTAAAGAATTGCTTTGGAAAATTGACGTTTATTAGTTTCTAGATCGTGCTTGGTTTTTTTTCTGCTATTTTCCTTTTAGATTCGATTGAACCTTAATTTCACATTTTGATTGGAAATTTCAAACTTTAGTTATCGGAAAATCATAATCTTTTACCCAAATTGTTTTGAGAAAAATAACCTTTATGTTTTTCCTATAGCATGCGGGTATTATAACAGAAAATTTTACTGTATGTGTAGTATTTTTTTTTTTTTTTAAGTACTTGCCGTAGTTTGTGTTTATTATAATAGAAAATTTTCCTGTAGCATGTGGGTATTATAATAGAAAGATGAAAGACTGGCTCAGCTTCCTTCCGTCTTCTTAAGTTACCCAAAGTTATTATTCAACAATCGGAAAATCATGTTCATAAAAAAGAAAATTTTTTGTGTGTAATTTATATTTTTAGAGTATAAATTAATTGTATAATAAATATATTTTTTAATTAATTCACATAAAAATTTATGAAAATTAATATTTATTTTAACACTACTAACTTGTAGTTAATTTTAATTAGTTAATTGATTAAAATAAAATTAACATTTGAACTTTCAATAAAATTAATTATTAAAAAGTATGTTAATTACATCTAAAAAAATACTAGTTAGAAAAACTAAAAAAAGAAAGAGAAAATCATAATTATTTACCCAAAGTTAGCAATGCATACAGCATATTTTGGTTTGGACTGGGAGGAAGTTTCTTGATCAATTTTCACGAAACTTCAAGAATCTCTATGCTTAACCTATATATGTGTGTATATATATATATATGATATATTTAAAAAAAATTATGTTTTTAAATATCAATTTGTATTTTAAATTTAACTTACAAAATAATTTACTTATTAATAAATTCAACTCTTAATCCTAACATACTTATAGCATTTAGAAAAAATCTCATCTAAGAATAATAACCATTTTTATTTATGTTTTTCTGTGGCGTGTGGGTATTATGATAGGGACAACATAACCTTCGTGATAGAAATATGAAAGACCGGCCCAGCTTCCTTCAGTCTTCCCATAAAATTCTACGAAAGCTGCAGTCAGCAGTCAATTTCGGTCAACAACAAACACCTTTCTAATTCAAACGCGTCCACAACAAGCCAGGAAGACTTTATTACACTTGTATATCTAAATGCGTGCACAAGAAGTCAGGAAGACAAGCTGGCCTTGCGTTCATGTAGTGAAATAATTTAGCCCGTTTGCAATTTCATTCACATATATTCTATAAATATCTAGTTCCACAAAAATAGAAGACTGGAAGCTGCTCGTAAGTCAAGTAGACGATAACTGAGTCAGCTATAATTCTCAGTCAAATGAAGTTCATTGGCCTACATTGCTTTCTGCCTGGCTGTATATTATTCTGCTTCTGCTCGTAATTAATTATAACCAAAACGCAAGACTTTGAAAGCGTGTTCTTTTCCTAGCTGTTGCAGAAAATTAATGAAGATGAGATCGGTGTTGTGGATGGCGGTGATCCTGGTATTGTCATCTTCTGCCAACGTCAGAGCAAGTTCAATTGCCAAAGAGGGCTGCCCAGAAAGATGTGGAAGCGTTAGCGTTCCTTACCCTTTTGGATTGGACAAATCAGAATGCGCCAAGAACTCTTCCTTCCTGCTTAATTGCGCGCAGAATGGCAGCCTCTTCTTTAGAAACATCCAAATTTACAACATATCATTGGAGAACGGTACCTTCACCGGAGGCATTGCCTCAGCCTGGGAATGCGACTACGGAAGGGGAAAGTCTCGAAGGTTCGACCAGCATATCAACCTCAATAGCTGGCCTTTCACCGTCTCCCCCACCCACAACAAGTTAAAAGCTTTGGGCTGCGACTCCATGGCCCTGATGAGGGACAACAAAGGAAGTTTCGGAAGTGGGTGCGTAGCTCTCTGCAACTCTGAAGAGATCGAAATCGATGGTTCTTGCTCAGGTCACGAATGCTGCCAGACCTCCATCCCTAAGAACGTCAAAACTTTGGACATAAAGGCTAAGAGCGCATCTGATAATCGCAGTAATTATTTTCATTTCTTCCCCTGCAGTTATGCTTTTGTGGTTGCAAATTCCTACAACATCGCGGTAAGAGACTTCCAAGGTTATCCAAATAAAACTCCGTCACCACATGTGGTGTTTGAATGGGTGGTCGGAGAGCGAGACTGCCAAGCAAGTGAAGGTCTCTTGGGGGATTCTTGCAGCGATAATGCTAACTGCACTTACTCTGAGACTGGTGGTGGATCTCGTTGCTATTGCCGGCCAGGGTTCACCGGAAATCCCTATCTCCCACAGGGATGCCAAGGTACCACATACAATTATTTATCTTCATTATATAAAATTCTATTTTCTTAATATATAGAGTTTGAGTTACATCCATGGTTCCATGGATTGTTTTAATTTGATGTATTCCAGATATTGATGAGTGCAAAGACCAGAAAAATCCATGTCAAGAAGGTACTTGTCGGAATACCTTTGGGAATTACATATGCGACTGCCCGCTTGGCATGCGTGGTGACGGTAAAGTTGGCTGCCGGGGACTCCGACTGACCACCATTGCAATAGGTAACCATTCTTATCAAAATGCCCCAACATGCCTCATCCATTTATGTTGAGAAGTTGGTTGATTCTGTTCCTTTAAAATGCATGCAGTGATTGGAGGGGTCATTCTTGTTATCATTATCACCATCTTGATTTTCATTGTCTGTCAAAGGAGGAAGAAGGAGAAATATTTTAGAGCTAATGGAGGTATGATATTGAAGCACCAAAGAATCAGGATTTTTAGTGAGGCAGAATTAGAAAAGGCAACCAACAACTACGACAATAGGCTGTTGCTCGGAGAAGGAGGCTTCGGTTCAGTCTACAAGGGAGTTTTAGGAGACGACACCCTAGTTGCAGTCAAGAAGGCCAAAGATGTGGACAAGGCAAGAATGAACCAGGAATTTCAGCATGAAATTGGCGTTGTTTCTCAGGTGAACCAGGAATTTGAGCGTGAAATTGACGTTGTTTCTCAGGTTAACCATCGGAATGTTGTGAAACTCTTAGGTCTGTGTTTGGAGACTAAAGTCCCATTGCTGGTATATGAATTCATTTCAAATGGAACCCTCCACCATCATATTCATGACAAGGGATCACAAATTTTAGGGTCATGGAAGAATCGTCTGAGGATTGCTACTGAGACTGCACTTGCACTTGACTATTTGCATTCTTTAGCAGAACCACCAATCATTCATGGTGATGTGAAGTCGATGAACATACTGTTGGATGATCATTACACAGCCAAAGTATCTGATTTTGGGGCTTCAGTGTTCATCTCACCAAACCAAACTAGAAAAGGCTCCAAAATACAAGGGACAATTGGGTACTTGGATCCAGAGTACCTAATGACTGGGATTTTAACAACAAAGAGTGATGTTTATAGCTTTGGGGTCGTCATGGTGGAGCTGTTGACAGGGGAGAAGCCTATTTCATCTAGTAGGGATGGGGAGAAGAGAAACATAATTCTGTATTTCATGTCATCTGTGGAAGATAATCGGGTTGGCCAAGTTCTTAATTTTAAGCCAGCAGATGATGGTGAAATGGAGGAAGTAGAAGCAGTTGCTGAGCTTGTTAAGAGATGCCTAAATAGAAGCGGCCTAAAAAGGCCAACCATGAAGGTAGTCGCGGAGGAGCTTACAAGATTGAAAAAGCTCAGTCACAACTTTTGGGCTCATCAGGGCAGTGAAGAAACTGAGTGCTTGCTGGGAGAATCCTCATCACATACTAGTTATGAGTTTTCAAATATCAATATGGACCAAATGGATACATATTCCGTGCACAAAACATTTGACATTGAACGAGGATCAACTGTGGCATCTAATACTTCCTCCTGCTAGTCTTCCATAATTATTAAATTTGATTAGTTACATCAATTTCATCAAACACGCTTTCCACTTAGTTTTTGTTTCTTGGTTTTCTATGTATTCATCATAGGTGTTGAACCGGAGGATATCCCTATCAAGGCCTTATTTATTTATTTATCTCAATTTATTATTATATATGTTGTTTTTTACTCTTTTTTATTTCAATATTATTTTATTAGAAAAGTTTTATATCAAAATACAAATGACACAGTTTTAATATTATTCTCCTAGTACCTTTTCAATTGGTTTTACTTCACTCCTCTCATTATTTTTCTTGGAACTCTATCTTTTATACTATGTTTAGGTTGAAGGGAATTATATCATTTCATTCCCCTTCCCCCCTCTCTCTAATTTGGATAATTAATTAAATTAAAAGAAAAACTAAAGGAAAATTTTTCCCTTTCATCCCCTCCAATTTTTTTTATAATCAAATAGAGAATATTTTTTTCTTCTCTCCTTTATTTCCCTCACACTACTAGAATGGTTGCCTATCTCGATCAAGCACACTAATCGAAAAACCAAGATTTTGATTGAAACAAAATTAGTTCGGTCAATACGACCGACCAAATTGTTTCTCCAAATGTTCTCTGTATGAGATAGAATTTTGGAGAGAATTTCATCTTAATAGAAATATTACTTAATTCGGTTAATAACTTTGACCAAAAAACTGATTGAGAAAATCATTAAACAACTCATATATTCAGATAAATAATTTACTCGAATTGTATAAATATTATTTTAATAACTGTTTCAGTTATTATTATTGACCAAAATACTAAGTAATAACCAAAATACTGAGTAATAGTACACACTATTTCGGTTAATTTAATTTATATGACTGAATTAATAGAAATTGATATAATTGGTATTTTATCATTTCACTTTTTTGATCAATTTACTTGACTGAAATAATATGGAAAAGGAAATTCCCTTAGCATTGTTTTGGTCAAAATAAATAATCAAAATAGTATGACATGGATTTTTTTGCAAAATTTGTTTGATACCTTCTCGGTTAGAAAATTTGATCGAAATGATATTAAATTAAGCATGCCAGGTTTTAGCAATTCATGTTATTTCAGTCACGATACTTGGTCGAAATAAGCATGCATATTACAAAAATAATAATAATAATAAAATTAGTTATTTAATCTTAAT